AAAAAAAATAGGTTTACCATCGTTATTTACAAAAAATCAGGTCTATTATTTTAAATGAAATGTTTGACATTTTGAAAGTTTTAAAGAATAAAAGGGATTATTTTAAAAAGAAAAGCACTGGTGTTATTTATATTTCTTTTTATAAATATAATATGAATAGATAAATAAAATTTTCCATAGCAGAATATTTTTTTTAGCTCAACTTATTTAAACAAAAAAAATAAAATATAAATATTACCAAATACGTTGATATAAATTATGAAAATAGAGGTCTTTTAAAAGAAAAAAATATAAAAGATAATCATTTGAATAATCCCTAACAAAAAGGGATTTATTTATTAAACATACACATACAAATACCCACACAGAAAAGAGATAAACGGTTTAGTTATATTTGGATATATGATTCGGATTGAGGAAGGATTTCGAGTTCAAGAAAAAAGTCGAATCCATTACATTCACTTATGAAAATAAATATTTATCTCCCCAATCCTATGGGTAATTTTTATAGCAGGACAGACTTTGGGTTTTATAACCTTGGATGACAACTGGTTTTGGAGAAGGACAACTAAATTCAAAACATGCGGAGGGTCGTTATTTCAAAAAAGCAGTCAAAACCCCATTTAATATTCGGCCCTTCAAAAATTGTGGATGGGAAAACAAAGCCTTCCCCACTATAATCAAATCTAATTAATGCTCTTGTCGGACTGACAGTTTTTTGGATTTTGACATTTGACCAGAATACGTCGCATACGACATTTTTTTTTCTAAAATATATAAAAAAAAAAAAATAATGACGTAATAACACAAAACACAACGTTAAAAATGCGTCCAAAAAAAACATTATTTACGTCATTATTTTGCAATTTATATATATATATATATATATATATATATATATATATATATATATATATATATATATATATATAGAAGAGATAAAGAGATTATAGGATTGGTGTATTCGGAATAAATTCCAATAAAAAAAAATTACTATTAAAAAAAAGTTTGCTCAATACAGATTAGAACAAATAATTATTTATTCGAAAATTATAACATAAATATATTATAACAATTTTATAACATTTTTATGTTATAATTTTCGAAAATATTATATATATATATATATATATATATATATATATATATATATATATATATATATATATATATATACTGATGTGTGAAATGTGTTTTAAAAGAAGCAAATTCTGTTTTAGGCATGTTCTTGAATAAACAATTTTTGTATAATTACTTGTACTAATAGCAACATATAGTTTAAATTAATCAATTTATACTGTTGTAGAATGAGGATCTTGGAAGAAGAATGAAAGTTTCTTGGGAAATGAAAAAAAAGAAATTTAAACATTTCTATAAATATTTCTCTGATCTTTAACATCAATACATGGAAGGTTATTCGTGAGGATGAACGGATTTTGTTAAAAATTAGCAGACATAATGTCTGTAATTTATTCAATCACAAATACATACATACATATATATATTAAGAAATGGACAACATTTTTATGTTTAACGTTCTTTAAATACTTGTATCTATAAAAAGAACGTTAAACATAAAATGTCTTTAATCAAGTGACGGTGTTGATTGCAGGGTTTTAAGAGTTCAAAAAGCAACCAACCCCCCTCTGCAGGGGAAACATCGTTACGTAACCTATGATGACATAATCAGAATACAAGTATATGGCAATTCAAAATAACGTGACAATATACACTAAGTAAAATTTGATTTGATTAAATTAAAAATCAATATAACAAATAAAGTTTTAATTTCACAGTTAAATTTAAAATTAAAATTTAAATGTTACAAATGTCAAATTCTAAATTTAACCGAGCATAAAGTTTAAAATTATTACAAAATTATTCAGAAATTAAACTAGGAGAAAAAATATATTTTATTGTTCTTAGTGAAGTGTCAATTTATCAGTTAAGTTCGTCGTTGACGTAAGAAGGATCTACGATCGTTACACATATTTGATACATAGAAGAATGAATTCAAATAACTGTTGAAACAAAATGAATATTTTTAAATTTTAACATATGATTTTTTGCATAATTTTAAGAATATTTGTTTTGATTTTTTTTTTAAAATAGTTTTTATTCCCTCTGTAAAAATATTCTGTATGCTTTTTTTTTTATATATATATATTTCTTTAATTTTTTTAATATATATAGAAAAAAAAGGGTAATATTGAATAAAGAATCAACTATTAATACTGTAGTAATGTTCTGGAAATGTCATATATTTTCAAAAGAGCAGTTTTTTTACGCTTTAATGCGGGCATGACCATGAAATTACGACACAAGAAAAAATTCCATAGTGGATAAATGTTTTCACGTTCTAATGAATTAAGATTAATAGAAATATAACCGTTGCATTTGAAAGCAAAAAGAAGAATTACAGTAATGGATATAAAAAAAACAGTTTTGCATTACTACTTTCACCCGTGAACAACACACAGTTTTGTATTACTACGTACAACCCTGAAGATGATCTCGGAAGAATATCGAAACTACTTGGGAAATGGAAAATAAAAATGATTTTCATAGTTATATACATTTATGCAACATCATTTAATTATAATACACGGAAGGTTATATCCGAGTATATATGGATTTTATTAAAAATAAGCATATAAAAATTTCTGTAATTTATTTAAACAGATATATATATATATATATATATATATATATATATATATATATATATATATATATATATATATATATATATATATAAAATGAAAGAACAGTAAGATATATAATCCGGTGTTCTGATAGATATTTTATTTTTACAAAATAGTGCTCAATGTAAATTTACAGAGCATTAATATTATAAATTAATTGATTAAAAATATGTTTTTTTTTTTTCGCTACACAGTTCTAACCATGTTTCAAAAATGGAAGCTAAAAGCCACGAATTTAATTTTGCAATTAAATTAAAGACATTGGTTCCATTTCATCCTCAAGCGAATTTTGGAGTAACTTTCAAAATTACTGGGTTTTAAAGACACAGCTAAAATCACGTTTCCATGGTTACAGATAAATCTACTTCAATTGGACAAGGGGTGTCTAGGTTTTCCTTATGTCTGTATCATTGTATCAGTTATTAGTTAGATTTTGGTAAGGGGTAGGGATGTATTTTTCAATGAAAACTGACATCCGTTGAATGCATGTCGTCTGGATTTTAAAAAAAAAATTTATTGTTAAACAAAAATTCTTACGGCATTTTTTTTCTATTTTTAAATTTAAAAGATTTTTGGGGGTGTTCAGATTAGAATACTTTTTTTATTTAACTACGATTTGAAATATTTTCATTTTATTTTTTTTATTATACTATATTTTTTTAAGAACAGTTAAATGTATTAGAATCCATTATATTATGTAGGATTATTTTTACATCAAATATAAGTATGTATATTAGGTTATTTTTTTTTTTTTTTTTTTTTAAATATTTAAGTAAAATTTATGACAATGACGGCAAAAATAGTTACTTAATTTCACTGATTTAGTAAACTTTTTATTTTTTTATATATAAACCTAGTAATATATTGTTTCTCATGTAAGTACAAAGGACATGGGTCATTCAAAAGCTTACATCTTCTGGCATTTCATATTAATTTTATTTTACTATAGGTTTTTTTTATTGGATTCTTTTTAAGTGCGTGTAGTACTATTTAAAAGAAGTTTAGGTTAGAATTCATTTTATTTAACTACAATTTTAATTACAACTTTAAAAAATATTTTCATTGTTAGTTTTAATAGACTATATTTTTTATAACAGAAGGAAATGTATTTGAAATTACTTATAGTAAGTAAAATTATTTTTCCATATCAAAGTATATATGTATATTACGATTTTTTTTTTTTTTATATTTAAATATTATTTAAGTAATATTTATGGCACTTACAGAAAAAAAAAAAAATAGCTAATTCATTTCTCAGATTTAGTAAACTTTATTTATTTATTAATTAATTAATTTATTTTAAATATATATAAACTTAGTTATAAAGTTTCATATGTATGTACAAAGGACATGGGTCGTTCAATGGCCTACATCATCTAGCTTTTCGTTATAATTTCATTTTTCAGTAGGTGTTTTATTGGATTCATTTAAGTGCCGGTAGTACTTTTTTAGAGGTGTTTAGGTTAGAATACATTTTATTTAATTGAAATTTTAAAAAGATTTTCAGGTTAGAATTCGTTTTAACTACAATTTTAAATACAACTTTAAAATATTTTCACTGTTATTCCAATAGACTTTATATATATATATATATATATATATATATATATATATATATATATATATATTTAAAAACTATTAGACAATGTAGTACGGTTAATTCTTTTTATTTCATTTTTCTTGTGTTCTAACAAGCGCTTTCTTTTCTGGACAAAGAGTGTGTAAAAATTGTCTCAATACAGTGTAGAGCAAAATATTAGTGTTGAAATATAATTGCAATTGTGTAGCGATTTTTAAAATGTTTTTGTCTTAATAGCCTAAAATAAATTATATATATATATATATATATGTGTGTGTGTGTGTGTGTGTGTGCGTGTTTGTGAAAAGAGAGATATAATGTAAGTTAGACATAATTTTGTTTCATTTTCTCCCACTTTTTTCTCTCTCTCTCTCATATATAGTCTTCTCTTCTTTTCTTTCTCTCTTTCTCCATCATTTCTTTTATAATATCATCCTTTCCTTCTCTTTACAATGTTTAGCTTGAACCAGAAAAAATTACGATTAACGGCAAAGAAAAATTGTGTTACATAATTTTTTTCAAGTAGAAAGCGATCGCCTAAAAAAACTGCGTTCCAAATCCTGGCCGCCATTTTTTTTTTTTTTTTCCGATTTGGAACACTTAACTCTAGAAGAACGTTTAGAACCCCATCCCAATGAGAGAGCAGGCCAGTCTCTCCTGTTTTATCCCACCCCCTAGCCAACACACGCAATATGTTAAACTATAGTTTGCTTTTAATGAAGTGTTTTTCCGCCAATTTTCTCTTCATGGCGAGGCTATCCGTCCACATTGCAGCCGACGCGTTCCATACGCCGTTCACTCTTTGCATCTATTCGTGCATGCGTATCAATACACGTGCACATCAACTTGTGTACGAACTTATTATCGGGGATGAGAGGTTCTTCCTGTTTACGTGGCTGAAGAATACTAGGTTTCAAAAATTTTAGGACAACATCTTAAGCCTTGTTCCTGTCAAGTAGGTTCGAGTGTAGGCTGTAAACACGCGCCGATCTGGGGGAATAATGAAACGCATCTGGCTTTTAAAATGTATAACAACTGTTCTATATTTTCCTCTTTCAAGTCAATGTAGTTTATTATAAGTTAAGGCGAGTTAAACAACTGGTACTTTTGTTATGTTACGGAAAAATAACAACACTGTTAAAACTATTGTCTGTATAATTTTATCAAGTGCCATTATCCTTCTTAAAGTTATTCATGGATGATTTTCTTCTTATTGTTGTCGTTTTTTTATTACTTCAATATTTCGACCGACCTATTCTACGGTCTTCATCAGGTGTGCAAATATATCTTCTATAATTCCGAGAAGGGTTATTATCGTTTCAAGCGTTGTTAATAAGCGAAATTATTCATAGTGTTGCTTTTGTTGTTGCCCCTCTTTTTCGGCCGATCACTTCTATGCCTTTCATCAGTTATGCAAAACGGCCTTCTATAATTCTTGGAAGTCGCTATTATTGCAAGCGGTTCCCTAGTTTAATCTATTCATAGTTTTACCCAATATTTCGGCCGACACATTCTACGGTCTTCCTCATGTGCGCAAACCTTATTTCAATGTTTCTCAGAAGAGTCCTTATATGGCGTTCTTGACTGAAGCCAAGATGTAGTGTACTTCTCGTACGGAACTGGAGGAGACCTATCTCAAATCTTGTCTTTCCACTAGGAGTGAAGAATTTTAGCTTCGATTATGGTTTGCTGTACTTCATCAGATATGCAAAACTGCCTTCTATAATTCTGGGATGTCACTATTATTGCAAGCGGTGTGCCTCGTTTAATTTATTCATAAAATTTGCATTTTTGTATTTACGGTAAATAACCTATGCAAATATACCTTCTATAATTCCGAGAAGGGTTATTATCGTTGAAAACCTTTTTTTTTACGAAATTTTCTCGCAAATAGTTAAAAAATTAAAAATGCGTTTTAATTTCAAGCTAATAGATTAAATTTGATATTTATAATAAGCAAAATACTTTGCTGTATTTCAAAAACTAATTTGACTGAAAGGATTTTTTTTCTAAAATCGCTAATTAACGTCCTTTTTTAGTCGTCATTCGTCGCAATGTAATTCTCTTTATTTAAAAAATAAAAAAAAATCTTCCAAAAATAAAATATACTTTTCTGAAACTTTATTTGAGGAGTATTTGCTGATTTAAAGTATAATTAATCTGATTTGAAGCAAATATTATTTACTTTAAATATAAAATATCGAATTTTTTTAACCCAACTCTAGCTGTGTTGACGTACTGACAGCCTGATGACAGATCTAATGTTGTCCCATGGAGACTTTATCTGTAAAAGATAATTGAAGAAAATAACGTGAGCGCCTTTTTTTTATATAATTTTTAAGTACTCTGTAATCATAAAAATTTAGCAAAATATTCTTCGTAATCTAATCTTTTATTGAATTTTTGACATTTCGTCTTTAAATTTACTGTAGTTTTCGCTTTTATTTTCTGATAATGTCGGGTATGGTCGTCCGTACTTACAAAAATTGGCACGTTCATATACATACAAAAGAAACAAAATTCTTTTCAAAATATTGGTATTTGATGATTTGGATTAAGCTCTTCCATTTGTGATTAATAAATATAGTTTTTACCTGAGAATAATATCATCTAAAAGGTTGAAATTAATACAGAATTTTAAAAGATTTAAAAGCTTTTCTAATTAAATATTATCATGGTTTTATTGCATTTTTATTTTACGATAGAAAGCAGATTTTCAGTAAATGATGTTTCTGTTTGACAAAAACAAATTGATTATTTAAATTCTCCAAGGACTCTTGCTTATAACTAATAAAAATATGAAGAGGCTGACATTTTAATTTCTCGAAATTTCATAAAATTATATATGTGGGGATAACAGATGTAAAAGAAATTATCAAGATTTTCTAAAAACAAAAATTATAAAAATAATTCTTTTCATTTGTGAATATATTCTGAAAATTTCATTAAAATCCGACAATTATTTGATTTTTGCAAGAATTTCCAAAAGAAAGTTTTTTAATGCCAAAAAAAGGCCCCAAAATTTCCTAATAGTAATCTTTGGCCCATCCGCTGACACAAGAAAAACAAAATTTTTAACCCAAATTTGGAACGTGCTAAAAAGGTTTATTAGATTTATAATACCCAGCAATTCATACCCAAATGTCCTCAAGGACACATGGCACAGTGGATAAAGGTGTTGGTTAGATCCAGTGACAGGATTAAAAAGAGTGTGAAAAAAGGCATTAGAGAACTTATTAGGGAAATTAACAGGAGATAACTGACATCCATTAAACATGACACGTGGAACAAGAACAGTCTACCCCAGTGAGCGAAATAAAGGGTTCAGTTCGACATTCCAACCACCTGAAACGTTGTAATAAATATGGCGACAAAGATGAGAACAATAGTCCGAATAATGTAAATAGTGTACATAATACCTAATCTCAGAAATATAGACAGATACTCAAGGGCCGAAACGTTGTGATAAATATGGCGACAAAGATGAGGACAATAGTCTGAATAATGTAAATAATGTACATAATAACTTTCATCTCAGAAATATAGACAGATACTGAAGGGCTGAAACGTTGTAATAAATATGGCGACAAAGATGAGGAAAATAGTCCGAATAATGTAAATAATGTACATAATACCTCATCTCAGAAATATAGACAGATACTGAAGGGCTGAAACGTTGTAATAAATATGGCGACAAAGATGAGGAAAATAGTCCGAATAATGTAAATAGTGTACATAATACCTCATCTCAGAAATATAGACAGATACTGAAGGGCTGAAACGTTGTAATAAATATGGCGACAAAGATGAGGAAAATAGTCCGAATAATGTAAATAGTGTACATAATACCTCATCTCAGAAATATAGACAGATACTGAAAGGCCGAAACGTTGTAATAAATATGGCGACAAAGATGAGGACAATAGTCCGAATAATGTAAATAGTGTACATAATACCTCATCTCAGAAATATAGATAGATACTGAAAGGCCGAAACGTTGTAATAAATATGGCAACAAAGATGAGGACAATAGTCCGAATAATATAAATAGTGTACATAATACCTCATCTCAGAAATATAGACAGATACTGAAGGGCTGAAACGTTGTAATAAATATGGCGACAAAGATGAGGAAAATAGTCCGAATAATGTAAATAATGTACATAATACCTCATCTCAGAAATATAGACAGATACTGAAGGGATGAAACGTTGTAATAAATATGGCGACAAAGATGAGGAAAATAGTCCGAATAATGTAAATAGTAGCATGATACCTCATCTCAGAAATATAGACAGATACTGAAGGGCTGAAACGTTGTAATAAATATGGCGACAAAGATGAGGAAAATAGTCCGAAAATAATGTAAATAGTGTACATAATACCTCATCTCAGAAATATAGACAGATACTGAAAGGCCGAAACGTTGTAATAAATATGGCGACAAAGATGAGGAAAATAGTCCGAATAATGTAAATAGTGTACATAATACCTCATCTCAGAAATATCAGATCAGTTGTAATAAATATATAGATAAGATCACTCAGAAAGATACTGAAAGGCCGAAACGTTGTAATAAATATGGCGACAAAGATGAGGGACAATAGTCCGAATAATGTAAATAGTGTACATAATACCTCATCTCAGAAATATAGAAATATAGATAATAAGATGGCGACAAAGAAAAGGTCCGAATAATGAAATAGTTACATAATAATCTAAAAATAGATATGCCGAAACGTTGTAATAAAACAAAGATGAGGACAATAGTCCGAATAATATAAATAGTGTACATAATACCTCATCTCAGAAATATAGACAGATAGTGCTAAAAAGGATTAAAAAAATAATAAAATAATAATTTTGTCTTTCCTCTTAATAACAACATAAACAGTTTGACGATAAACCTTTGATTTTTTTATCAAGTTTGGAGCCTTTTTCATCATGCTATACTGTTTTTTAGAACATTTTTGGAGGTACGTTCTTTAAATGTTACATTTCGGTATATAAATCGGGGTAAAAAATCAACATACTTTAATCAGTTGTTAGAAATAGAAATACTGATTAATGAATAATAAGAGAAGATTATTATTATTATTAGCGGATTTGCTTTCATGAATAAAACTCTCATAGAGAAGAACATTAACTTTAAGTGAAAATTTTCCAACTAACATCCAAGTATCAAATTGGCAGCTGATGTCATAAACAACCTTCAGTCTGTTGTTAACTGAGACAAAGAATGGCTCGTTAATTTCAACACCCCCCTAACAAATCTACTCTGTATTAATCATTTGAGAGACCCTTCCGTCAGCATGGCTGATGCTAACCTCCAGGAAAGTGAATCATTTCACCTTCTTGGGCTCACGTTCTCAGCTGACATGAAGTGAAAAGACTATATTAAATCCATTGCTAGGCCGGCTGCTAAGAAAGTTGGTTCACTGTGTAGTACTAGACAATTTTTCTCTCCAGAATCTATCTTACATATCTATAAGTCTACCATTCGTCCATGCTTAGACTATTGATGTCATATATGGTCTGATGCTACTGCTTTATATTTAGAGATTCTCGATAAAATGCAAGTTTAGAACTGGTGGAACTAAGGAATATACACGCTTGAGCAAATTAATTGAAACAAAAAGAATAATTCCGTTGTTTACTTTTTTTTCGTATTTTTCCAATGAAACATGACCCAGTGCGCATGTCAGTACTTCGTATGTCCATTCCACGAAGTCTTTCCTTGCAGATTGACCACAGATTTTCGATTGGATTTAAATCGGGAGTTTCCGGGCCAGACTATCTCAGCCTCTTCATATCTATCTATCTATCTATCTATCTATCTATCTCAGCCTCTTCATATCTATCTATCTATCTATCTATCTATCTATCTATCTATCTATCTATCTATCTATCTATCTATCTATCTCAACTTATTCATTATCTATCTACAGCCTTGTGCACATTAACTGAAACAAAACGAATAATTCCGTTATTTTTTTCCAATGAAACAAGCCCAAGTGCACATGTCAGTACTTTGTATGTTCATTCCACGAAGTCGTTCCTTACAGACTGACTACATATTTTCGACAGGATTTAAAACAGGAGAGTTTCCGGGTCAGTCTATATCAATTTGATTTGCTCACTGGTAAGGCTTGCCAGTGTGTTCGTGCAACGTTACAATTTTCGTACGCTTCCTTGGAGTAACGTTCATCGCAGAGAATGGCCGTAAGACAACTAATCGACAATCGAGACAATAGTGTCTGGGCGTGATAAAAATCTGATGCAATCACAGATGACGCAATATTTTTCAGGGATATATTTCATCATACACCCCGAAAATAGAGTCATATTACTGTACATCACTGCAAATTACTTAATAAGAGGAAAAAATAGAAATCGATTACACCCTGTCACTCCAGTGGTGTCTAAAACTGACCGTATGGTGAAAGAAAGGGCACAACGGTGAGGGTTTATATGTATACTTTCCATAGAGATAGCGATAGAGCAGTGAGAGTTTTGCGACGACTCGTCTGTGATTGCAGGGTAGAAAATAATTCATCACCCACATGGACGGGGAGACGCTTTTGGACTCTATCGCTTATATATATTTCTTTTTGACTGATTGCCTTTAATCAAGGACGTCTGGGTTTATCATCATTCCAAGTTTCGCGCGTAATTAAAATTAATATCATTTTCGCTGTTACCCCATATATTTCGGTCGATCCGTTCTACGACCTTCATCAGGTATAAAAAAGTTATCTTCTATAATTCTGAGAATTGTCATTATTGTTTCAAAACTTGTTGGGGATATTGGCTTTCCTAGTGTCTCTTTTTTTTAGTTTATTTTACCACGTTTTGGCCAATCCATACTACAGCCTTCATCAGCTGTACAGAGCTATATTTCGGGAAGAGACTTTCCAAACATTGTTGTAACCATGAAGCTCATTCTAGTCTTCTAAGATTAAAATACATATAACATTGCGTACAAACTTTTTAACTGTGTGGAGAGTGATAGATACGAATCTTCACTAAATTATAAATTAATTGTAATAAGACATTAGTAAAGAAAAAAATATAGCGAGATTAAGTGGATTATCTTTCCTAGCCAAATTAATTATGTTCTTAATCTCTACGGCTTTTTGGATTTTTTAGCCAACTACAACAAAGAACTACCGCAAACCAAAACCGAATCTAAAAATAAAAGTGGAACGACAAGATTTGAGATAGGCATCCAGTTCTAAGCGAGAGTTGCACAATGACATGGCCTTTAGTAAAGAACGTCATTGCAAATGTTGCTCAGAATTGAAATTAGTGTCACTTTCGCTGTTACCCATATATTTCGGTCGATCCATTCTACGGCCTTCATCAGGTATACAACGTTATCTTATTTAATTCTGAGAATCGTCATTATTGTTTCAAAATTTGTTAGGAATATTGGCTTTTTCTACAGTGTCCATATTTTAGTTTAGTTTACCACGTTTTGGCTGATCCATGCTACGGCATTCATCAACTGTACAAAGCTATATTCTATATTCTTCAGCGAAGAAGCTTTCCAACTATGAAGCTCATTTTAGTATTGCTTTTATTACACAACTCTTTCAGCTGATCAGTTCTCTCCCTTTGTTTAGACGTACACACCATTAAGCCTTGGAACCCGGATCCCCAGATGAATATGCTATGGGCAATTTCACATAGTCTCACGTTTACCGGCCGTTCGGATTAAAAAAGTGAAGGGGTTTATTTTAAAATAGCAAAAGATATACTTACTAAATACATTCACACATATGAGAAGTTGAGTTCACATTCGTAAGATAGATACATTAAATGGCTCAGTCTGTTCAAACCTATCTATCTATCTATCTATCTATCTATCTATCTATCTATCTATCTAAATCTCTTCTTCATCTATCTATGTGTGTGTACGTTTGTGTGTGTTTGTGTTTTTGTGAATGTGCGTGCAGAATAACACCACTCTACCCCCCCAACACCCCAAATCTGTATGATTTACTTACTAAATACATTCACACATATGAGAAGTTGAGTTCTATCTATCTATCTATCTAATTGGCTCAGTCTGTTCAAATCTATCTATCTATCTATCTATCTATCTATCTATCTATCTATCTATCTTCATTATTTGTCTATATATTTGACTCAGTCTGTTCAAAACTATCTATCTATCTATCTAATTGGCTCAGTCTGTTCTATCTATCTATCTATCTATCTATCTATCTCTGCTCATATACATATATATATAAATATATATATGTGTGTGTGTGTGTTTGTGGATATTTATCTATCTATCTATTTCAGTCTATTGATATCTATCTATCTATCTATCTATCTATGTTCATATGTATCTCCGTCTATCTATCTCATTCTGTTTCTATCTATCCCTGCTCATATCTATCTATCTATCTATCTATCTATCTATCTATCTATCTCTGCTCATATACATATATATATAAATATATATGTGTGTGTGTGTGTGTGTGTGTTTGTGGATATTTATCTATCTATATATCTATCTATTTCAGTCTATTGATGTCTATCTATCTATCTATCTATTTCAGTCTATTGATATCTATCTATCTATCTATCTATCTATCTCAGTCTGTTCATTATCTATCTATCTATCTATCTATCTATCTATCTATCTATCTAAATCTCTTCTTCATCTATCTATCTATGTGTGTTTACGTTTGTGTGTGTTTGTGTCTTTGTGAATGTGCGTGCAGAATAACATCACTCTACCCCCTCCCACCAAACACCCCAAATCTGTATAATGTGACCGGTTTATTTTAGAGTGCCTAATAATCATACACCCGGAGCTAGATCAGAAATTGCACCGTCAGCCCAGACGCAGGCGCCAGATTCCTCCAAATCAACTGTTGAAGCAACGGTGGGAGGTACTGCCACCTATATGTAATCTTCGGCAATAAGCGTCCTTCATTCTTTTGTCGTGCTTATGGTAGAGTAAATAGTTTAGCAGACTCCACTTTGAGTCCATCTGGAAGTCCGAGAAAGCGGAGTGTTGATAGAATCTCTATATTTTAATGTCCCGGTCACAATGAGCGAGCAAATATTGAATTTATCTTAACCTGGAGGTATGGTGGAACACCTGGACGATTTAACGTTTGGAAGCCCATAATCATATGTATAAGACCAAAAGCTATTCTGTCACAGGCGTCAAAGTACTTCGACCCTTCAAATTTGGTTCAACGTGGGAGGTACTAGGGCTTTCCTCGTTGTTGGGCTATGAACTGAACCGAAACTAGATACATGGCGCCAATGTGCCACACCCTAGCATGGGAATACAGTAGAGATAGACTCTGCTCCTGTCTTTACCCCGACGGATGCAGATTGAAACATATGGTCGGTTTATGTCCATACGTGTACATATGGTTCAGGTCAAAAATTGCCCACTTCAATGATTACGGTCACGGAGACGTCACAGTACTTTGACAATCCCTCTTCTGTACAATAGGGTAAGTGTTGCCTCAGGGTTGGAATCCCCAGGATTAGGCTTTCCTTGTTACAAAACTGTCCGAAAGCGAAAACACCAAAGAGGAGGAGAACAGATATTACACTTTGATCCCAACCCGAAGGCCGTGAAGCGAGCTCTCGCTATCTAAACAGCACTGCTCCTATACGAAAGTACCGAGGAGAGATAATTTGATATCAAGCAGCGATCACAAACACTCTGATCCTAGACAGAAGTGCTGATCTGTACGAGGATAATTTTTGACCGGTACTATGCTATTAATTTTAATAATGAATTATAGGTGAATTAATGGAGAACTGAAGCGATAATAATAATAATAATAATAACGAAGGCGATGACAACGATGATGATGGTGACGACGATGGTAATGATAATAACGTCGATGACGACGATGATGTCAATGTTGACGATGGTGACGATGTTGATGATGACGATAAGGTCCATGATAACGATAATGATACTGATGTTGACGTTGATGATGGCTACAATGATGTTGACGGTGATGACAATGATGATGATGACGACGAGGCTGATAAGGATAATGATGATGATGACTACGATCGAGGTGGTGGTGGTGGTGGTGTGAAGATGATGATGACTATGATAATGGTGACAATTATGATGATGACGATAATAATGATGATGACTGGGATAATGGTGGTGGTGATGATGATGATACAATAACAATGATGACGATGATGACGATAATAATGATGATGACTGTGATGGTGGTGATGATGATAATGATGATGATGATACGATAACAACGAAGATGTTGACTATGATGATGACGATAATAATGATGACTGTGATGGTGGTGGTGGTGATGATGATAATGATGATGATACGATGACAATGATGATGATGACGACGATGACGATAATAATGATGATGACTGTGATGGTGATGATGATGATGATGATGATACGATAACAATGATGATGATGATGATGAGGATAATAATGATGATGACTGTGTGGTGGTTGTGGTGATAATGATGATGATGATACGATAACAATGATGATGATAATAATGATGGTGACTGTGATGGTGGTGGTAATGATGATCATCATAATGATGATAATGATACGATAACAATGATGATGATGATAACTATGATGATTTTGACAATGATCATGATAACTATGATGATGACGAAAATGATGATGATGACGATAATAATAGTCGTGACTACGATGGTGGTAGCATTGATGATACGATAACAATGATCATGATGATGACTACGATGATGGCAATGATGATGATGAGTACGATGATGCTGATCATAATAATGATGATGGCTGCAAAGGTAACTACAACGAATGGCAGTGAAGGAGGAGGAGGAGGAAGAGAAAGAAACTTTGGGTTTTTTCTCTCCATTTATTGATTCCTGCGAATGACACCAATAATTACGATGTTTTCCCGTCCAAATTTTGGACAGAATGGTTTCCCCAAATCTCCCGCCCAGAATGAAGAACGTAGACATCACACGAACCAAAAAAAAAAAAAAAAAAAAAAAAAAAAGCTTTTCATAAGGGGATAATCTCGCGGCATTATCGGCACAAATACGTAATCCGTGTCACGTGACACGACAAAGGATTTCGGCGGCAAATCAAATAAGTGGTTTTATTGCGTAAGTCCGCAAACGCCTGTGAAAAGAGATGCCGTCTTTGAATGTAACTCTTCTCTAAACCGCTTTAGCTATACAAAGAATTAGGTATGGGACGCTAATATATATCTTTTTTTTTCTTTGCCTTGATAAACTGATTTTCTTTTTCTTTTAACTGTAACGTAAGAGGCATTACGTAGAGGCATTACGTCTGCTTCATTTCGTCTAATTGTTTTTTCTGTTATTTTTTCGCCGAAAAATCCAAATAAAATAAAAAAATTAAAGGGAGATAACTTTTATATTTAAAGAGTGCTTTTCTAAGGGAAGAATTACGACAAAGCAGAAAAAGTTTACGTTTGACTCGTCTCGTCCTCCAGGACTTAATCGGACTAAATTATATTCACATTGATGCAGCTACATATGTACAAGAAGCAGTGATGGGGGTGAGAATTAATTTAAGTTTTAATTTAAATATGTTTTAGATTTATAATCTAACCGATTTCATTTAGATACTTTTTTTTTTCTTTTTGTTCGTGTTTCCATTTATTACTCAATCTGAGCTGCTATCCATTACTCCTTTTTTCCCGCAGCAGCTTGCCATTTCTTTCTGCCTTAGACAATTTGCCATCCAAGTCCAAGGCTATAGAACCCAGTCTGTCCTGCTATTTACCCATAGCTGGAGGGAGAAGATGAGGATTCTTATCTTTCCCAAGAGTATAGCACGTAGGTGAATGTAACGGATTCGATTGGGATTCGAACTCGGCTCTCCGATTCCTCAATCCGAGCCGCTATCTATTACTCCTTTTTCCCGCAGTAGGTTGCCATTTCTTTCTGCGGAAGACCAGTTGCCATCCAAGGCTATAGAACCCACTCTATAGGATTCATACCTTTCCCAAACATAAGTGAATGTAATTGATTCGACTGGAATTCGAACTCAGCTCCCCGATTCCTCGAACCGAACCACTATCTATTACTCCTTTTTTCCCGCAGTAGGTTGCCATTTCTTTCTGCAGGAGACCCGTTGCTATCCAAGGCTATAGAACCCACTCTATCCTGCTATTTACCCATAACTATAGAGAAGAATAGGATTCATACCCTTCCCAATGTTATTAGAACGTAAGTGAATATAATGGATTCGAACTCGGCTCTCCGATTTCTTAATCCGAGCCGCTATCCATTACTCCACCACTTTTGTCATTAAATACCGCACATTGTAATAATAGACGATCTGCTAAGAATGGTAAAACGTTGTAAGAACCTGGACGCAAATTTACTTTGGATCATCTACTGATTACTTTCGTCTGACTAAATTGTTTTCTCCTTCAACCAGAGTAGCATTTTCTAAATCAAAATTGTGGTCAGTCACATTAGGGTGAGCAACTAATGTACTTAAATGTGTTGTTTTGTAACAGATCCCTTTTATGTTCATATAATCTTTTATTTAAATTCCTTGGGGTTTCTCTGATGTATTCCTTGTGGCAATTATTACAGGTGATAAAGTAAATTTCTCCTTCAAGTTTTAGTTTATTATTCTGTTTTGTATTTATTAGGTTTCGTTTGATTTGTTTGACGGCTTATCAACCTCAATGGGTTATTTAATGTCGATAAGATTTTTATTGCTGGTAATATTTTTTCTAAAAATGTATTGCTGGTAATGTTTTTTTTTTTTAAATAATGTATAGATGGTAATATTTTTTTCAAAGAATGTATTGCTGGTAATATCTTTTTTTCAAAGAATGTATTACTGAAAATATTTTTTTCAAAGAATGTATTGCTGGTAATATTTTTTTCCAAAAATGTATTGATGGTAATAATTATTTTTTTCAAAAATCCATTGCTGGTAATAAGTTTTTACAAAAGGTATTGATGGTATTAAAACCTATTTTTACACTTTCATAGTATTTTGACACCAGTTTGGGAGGGGGTAACTATTTGCCCATAGTTGGGACCCAAACAGGTGCTACCACCCACGGTCAGGGTTGAGCTGGGAACACCAGCAATTAAGAGGTGGTTCCACGCTTCTTAAAACCTCATGATCAGGGGCCTTGCTGTTGGATCTAGTTTATCGTCTTACCCAGGATGCCGGATGTAGTTTATCGTCTTACCCAGGACGCGGATGTAGTTTATCGTCTTACCGAGGACTCGGGTGTATTTTATCGTCATACCCAGTATGCTTACATTTATTAAACCTTTTATTGTTTTGAAAGTAATTGTGGCAATTTTTATGTCTAGTTTAGATAAATTCTTGTACTTGTGATAGAGTCAGGGGGTTTGTCAGGAAGTTCCTCTTTTCTATTTTAAAATATTTTATGATCCTTTTGTTTTGTATTGAAAATGAAATAGGATATCGGTTAATTAGTGTATGTATCTGTAAATGATTATCTCCAAAAAATTCTTACAATCTAAAAACGTAATTCTGGCTTTAAATAACCTCCATAAAGGTTGATAAGCCATAAAAGAGAACTCAATCGATATTTAAAAATGTCAAAGTCTGAAACTGTGTTTATTTTATTGATAAATGTGTATTATTACAAATTTGGCAAAGAATATCATAAGTTCTTTTTCCTTTTTTTTTTCTTTTTGAGTGGGCCACTTAATTTGTTGTGCCAAAAAAAAAAAAAAAAATTACCCGTTCTGTTGATTTCTTTCTTTCTTTCTTTCTTTTTTTTTTTCTTCTCCCAATTTAATTTTCAGCCATGTTTTTTTTTCCTTCTAGAAACCTTGCGTTTAATAATCCCTGTTATTTGTCCAACTCCACCGGCACGTGCCGCTCACAACAGAAACTTGTTATTATGGTTACTAACAGACCACAGAAGCAAACGGCAGGC